AAAAAAAGCACTGAGAACTAAATCAAATAAACTTTCATCAGAAAGTTACAGAAAACTGCTTAACAGAATAGTAAGTTGAAAAGGCATGTGATCAGAAGAGATCCTATGTTTTTATTTATTTTTATCTCTGGTACCTAGCACAATGCCCAGCACTTATTAAATACTTAACAAATAAATACTTAACACACAGTGAGTTAATACAAATAAAGATTAGGAGAAAAGGAAAGTCACAAAATGCTGGAGACTATTTAGCAAGTGAGAATTTTTTCACTAAATATTTGATTTTTCTTCCTTGGGATCACTCCTTAGGAGTAATACAGGCAAAAGGATGTCGGCATTATGAAGACACATTATAAGTATTTGGGATACCCAAAGAGGACAGATAAGTAACAGATTCCACAACCACCTAGTATTGGTTGCCAATGTTTTCTGCTACCAGACTTTACTCAAATCCATTGACTTTGACTTGGCATAATAGCGATACCACATTTGGAGGGTACTTGAGGAAACCATAACCTCCTCCTCCCAAGAAAGTCAAGATGGAGACCTATAAGCTCCTGTTTGCACCTGTTATTACGGACAGCTGTAAATGGGTGTCTAGTGAAGAGAAACCACTTCAGATCTGTTTTGGACATACATGCAAATAAATACCATATAAAATAAGGTATTTAAGAGATTTTAATAAAGGAATCATCTTCAAAGATATAAGGCTGGGTGGTAGAACATTTCCATACTAACACCACCATAATCATTTCAAGGTCTAAAGGGGCAAGCAAAGGGTCACCAGAACCCAGAAAGATCTATTAAATGCTTCTATCTGGCAGAGAGAGCCAATGACCAGAAAAACTACTCACAAAACACAGAACAGCTCTGGCAATACAAACCCAGGAGAGAAAATGCTCCTCAAGGCCTCCTCCTGATGTCCCACTGGCCAAAGTCAACCAGAACTCAAAATACAGGGGTTCAGTTGATGCATTTCATAGATGTCACTCCCCAGAGTAGAAGGGTGAGTACAAAGAGGGGGAGTACAAAGAGGGGGAGTACAAAGGGTGAGTACAAAGAGGGGGAGTACAAAGAGACTATGTAGCACAGAATAACCAGCAAAACACAGGCACATAAAAAGGTTTTGACAGTTCCACTTAGATCTTCTAGACATGGAACTGCCTGTGGAAAAAGTCATAAACACAGTTATTTACTTGATTTCCTACTGCGCTCATCAAGATGAGGAAAGGAAAAAAAGATTCTAAGTAAATTCAGGTAACTTTTGACATTTCTGCATCTCTGAGAGTAAACAGACAACCCATTTATTTATAATAGATCTGTCCTAAGACAGCATCTTCCTCTATTAAAAGGGCACCTATTCCAAACCTCCATTATTATACTTATCATGAAACAGTATAATCTCATGTATTTCTTTCTCCCTCATTAAATCCTGAGCTGCTATAGGGCAAAGATTGTCTTATTTACATTTATACCCCTAGTATCTAACATGGACCTAGCACAGAGCTGGCCTTCAAAGGGCATTAAATCAATTAGAGGACCCACAGTCCAATAATTCCTAATCCCATTATGGATAAAATGTGGAATTTCCCTGAACAATTAAATACTAATAAGTCTTAGTCAGGATGTGGTTTAATATGTTGTACACACAGCTACATTCATACTAGCCCACTATTATTCTCTCTAAAACAGTTTTCTTGTGGCCTCGGGTTAAGTCTTAGCATTACCACTGCAACGGCCTACTGTGATAGGCCTGAGTTTGATCTGGCCAGGGAGCTAACCCACATGGTGCAGCAGACCTCTCCTGTCTTGCCTGCTGCTCCCCTTAGCAGTGTACTTCAGTAGATCTGCCTGTTCTGCTCCCAACTCTGTCTCGGGTGAACCTCTCACCCACCCCCAACACCTTTGACCTACACCCTAGCTCTTCTATGCAAAAATAAAAAATCTTAAAAAAAATTAGTTTTCTTCGGTACTCAGATGATGTATATGGCCTTTTATACACTCATAGAACTTAGTATCGAGAGCTGGAGAAAAATGCCAATATGCTCCATTTCAGGAAGGAATCCAATACTACGTATATCTCAAAATTCTCACACTTTTCCCAAGAATTTACTGGATTCACTGAAGGAACTGATTAACTTGGGTATATTATATACTGAAATGTCACATTTCACAGTGACATGGATGAATTAGGGGTAGAAATGTGCACATAGGTGCATGCATACACTACAGGATATGTTTCACCATGGCTTCAGCAGATATCACCCTCTGTTAAATTACAAAGCAACCATGTAACACAATCACATAATACCATCATATTAAGGTGGATACACTGTATGGTGTTGGGGTGGTCATTAACAGAACCTGGAACATAGTCACATTGTAATTATGAATCACTTTCATATAACCCTGTATTTGTGAAGTGCTTAATCATGTTCTTGTTGGTACAGCCAATTCTTTCTTAAAAAAGAAAAAAGTTAGGTGGCGCAGCGGTTGAGCGCTGGGTTGCGAAGCTGCCCACAGCCTCTGCAGTGCCGGTTCGATCCCCGGCTGCTCCCCGGCCACTGGAGGAGGGTCCCACATGGTGCGCAGACCTCTCCTGCCGCCCTCTGCTCCCCTCAGCAGTGTACTTGGGTCCTTCTGCCTGCTCTGCTCCCTGCTCTGGCTCTGGTGAATTGTCTCACCCTCCCGCGCTTCTGACTGTACCCAGTTCTGTATAAATTAAAAAAAAAAAAAAAAAAGCAAACCAAAAAATATTAAAAAAAAAAAAAAAAAGAAAAGAAAAAAGTTAATGCCAAGTTGACAAACCTCTTAGAGCAACCCTGACTTTTGAATGCCAATCTCCTGCCCTCAGTTAAAAAAAAAAAACAAACAAAAAAAACAAAACACTAAATTCAGAATAAACTTCAGATTCCACTAGAAAGGTGAGTTTGCTATAGAGTCTTCCAAAACTCAGCATGAAAAATTTTGTATCTTCTGCACCACTGTCTTTGTATTTTCTGCACCTTAAATACTGATGGATAATAGTTGATATTTCTTAAATCTAATGTCGTCTTATACACCAACTTATTTTCTATTTAGGAAAAGGAAATTCTGGGCTAATCATGAAAATATACTAGATGACTTTAAAAGAAACTCTAGCAATATAACCTGATAAATGTTTTGACTGGATCAGTAATCTTTTTCTGAAACATAGTTAATGCATAAGTGCCAATGGTTTGATTTTGGTTTTTTGAGGGTCATAATGAGTCTACAATTCTCTGATGAATATAGCAATATAATTACTCTTATCTATATGGTATTTGCATTTTGCTGACCCTCTCAGTCATAAAATTGCCACATGAATAAAGAAGAAAAAAATGGACATCCACCATATGGCTTTGTGTTTAATAATATTTGCTTTAGTTTCCTCAACACTGTTCCAGCAATACTGTTTCATCTGTCCTGGTTCGGTGCTTGGCTCACAGAAAAAAAAATGTTTGTTTTCCAAGTTAATTAACTACCACAAGGCAGAAAACATGGAAGCTGATATATAATTGCAACAGTACACAGTATGTGGCAATGACAGGATAATATTCAATATACTGAATTACCAAAATTGCTTCTGATGGAACATTTTCCTCTCTTCACTAAAATACAAACGAAGTTTAACAAAGCCTTGCTGACAGTGTAAGTTACAGCATATTTTAAAGTTTAACATCTTTACCAAGTGTAAACTTTTTGTTGCCAACATATGAATATATTTTAATGATTATTATCATATCCTGACATCTGAAAGGATTACTTGTGATTCTATAAACACTGTATTCCAAAATTGTGTTTCTCTATGCTAAATTCCTCAAATTCACTGTGGAGTTAAACATGAAGAGTCTTATCAATAATAAAGAGGTTTCATAAATAACTGAAAGGATTTTTTTTCTCTAAAATACAGAATTAATTGAGAATGCTGAATTAAAACGGCCGGGAGGGGGGTGGGGGGGAGAAGGGGAGAGCCTATCACTTAGAAGTCATCACGCAGACCTGCATTTAGGATGCGAAAAGCACAGATTTAGCTTGCCTAGTACTATTCTTTGACCCTTTAAACTTTAGAATGACCCAACCTTAGCAGATCTCCGTGTTTGTTTCCTTGTTTTAAAATTACCTAAATAGTTAACATACTGCCTTACACAATCCTATTAAAGAGGCGAAAGTAACTCCCTCCAACGCCGAGCACTTATTCAGCTGACTTCAATTCTTTCTGTCAAAGGAAAGGAGCAACTGGTAACTAGAAGCCCCAAAACCGAACTCTTCCATTAGGAAGACAACGCCAACTTGCTGCAGCCAAAAACTGGTAGTCGCAGGAGATGGAAAGCTACACCACGGCAAGGTCTGTGCAGAGAACAAAACAGCAGGCACACCCCCATTAAAAAAAAAAAGAAGAAGAAAAAGCAAGCTTCTTCGAACCTACAGGCAGAAACTTGGCATCCTCACACCCACTTGCAACCTGACAATTTACAACCTGGTAACACCTAATTACGAACGTTCAGCCTTTTACAGACGAAAAATCAAATTGCTTCCCACAAGTAAGATAAAGCAGGCACTGGCGCCTGTTATCAAACCCCCCAGTGCACAAACCTCGGGTTTCGCTACCGACCCGACCAGCCAGGCTTCCCTACAGGGGCGAGGGGAGCGCCCACCCCACGCTGCTAGGAGTGTAGAGGGGCACAGAGGACAGGAGCGAGGGACAGAGCGCAGAGTCGCGAGCAGCGTCCAAGCAGGGCTGGGCTCAGCGCAACGGCGGGCGACACACACAGCGGCGGCCACGCGGGAGTCGGGGTGCAGGCGGCCAAGCGGGGACCCCGGGCTGCGGAAGCCGCCCCCTCGCGTCCCCCGGCCCAGGCGAGCGCGCGGGGCACACCCCCCCCACACGCCCGCAAGCGGCTCCCCGCGAGTCCCCGCCCAGAGATCAGCACCCCCTCGCCCACCGGTGCGCCCCGCTCGGGCTGGCGGCGGCTACGTACCCAGCAACACGCAGAGCATATCGAGGGCCACGAACGGCAGCCGCGTCTTGTCAAACATGGTCTCGGCCAGGGCGGCCCGGCACGGCGGCGGGCGAGGCGACCGGCGACCGACTCACGGAGCCCGGCCGGGGCAGGCGGCGGCCCCTCCCGCCGGCGGAGAGCAGCGGCGGGCGCCCGGGACGGCGCGCTCGGCGGCCAGCAATGGCGCCCGGCCCCCTCCCCTCGCGGCCCCGCGCCCCTGGGTCGGGCGGGACGCTCGCGTGCCCGCCGCCGCGGCTCCGTCGCCTCGGGCCCACCTCGTCGGAGCGGCCTGCCCCAGGCGCTCGCCGTCGGGTCCCAGCGCCCTCTCCGACGGGCGCGGGGTGGGGCTCGGGCTTTAAGGATGGAGATCAGCCGGGGGAGGAACGCGGGGCGGCCCCTCCGCCCCCAGCACGGGATCCGCCAGCGCGCGGCCTCGGGGCTGAGGGAGCGCAGCGGAGGCGGGGCGGCCTCTGAGAGGGCGGTGGGCGGGGACGGGGAAACCCCCAGCCGGGAGGGGGAGGTTCAGCCAATCAGCGCCGCCGGCCCCGCCCCGCCGACCTGCGCAGCCAATCCCTGAAGCGGGACGCTCGGTGACCCGGCGGATTGTGGGGTGGCTCCGGTGCGGAGCCGGGGTCGGTGCTGCGACCCGCGGGACGCGGGTGTCGGCTACGGGGGCCCGGCCGCGGAGCTTAGCCTTCTCCGAGGAGAGCTAGGCCGCCGACCCATGGCCCCCGGGGTGCCGGCCACCCCTGCTGCTCCGTGGGGGTTCGGTAATAAAGAGGCCCAGGGTTGGTAGGCAGTGACAAAGGCTTCTGTTAGTCAGGCTCATTTGAGCCCTATAGTCCTCTAGGCCTCCAAGTGTGTCCCAGCTGTGCCCAGTTTTAGCATGATTGCTGCTAAGTGATCCCTCCACCCTTTGATTGCCTTTGATTAATCATTTCTTATCCCTCACTTTTGATATATACATCCTTGACCTGCCTTTGACAAGAATCCCCCCACCCTTAATATGTCCTCTCAGTAATTTTCACTGACTGCTTTCCCCTCCTTTCCTTCCCCCTTGTTTGTTGGCTATAAATTCCCAAATTGTCTTAGTTATACTGAGAGTTGAGCAAAATTTTTCTTCTGTTGCAATAAATAGGCTTGAACAAAGTCGTCATCATTTTAACAAGTGTCAGAATAATTTTTAACAGCAATCCTCTCACACCTAATTTCTGGGAGAACCCCAGTGAAGAATTAGTAATCTGTTTACTAATCTGTAAAATTGGGACGTTAATAAGCCCCTGATTTGGGTTCTACTCAATAAGTGATGACACCTGGGAAAAACAGACTAGGACAGCATAAGAGATTAAACTCCCTACAGAAGTTAACAATTGATATCTTTTTTATTGATAGTTTATATACAAAAACTAATGAGGCAAATTGAGAACTTCACAGACTCTTCCAATGAAACACCACTGAGACCAATGGAGAGGTAACATCTTCAGATAGTGTGAAGAGCCCAAAGTGATGCCCCACGAGCAAAAAAAAAAAAATCTTTTAAAGATTTTTAATAAATCTTTTCCTTAGGATTTCACCTTTTCTTTGAATACCTTTTAAAAACTTTTAGCAATGTTTATCTGAGAGAGTTATGCCATTGTTTATTCTGTGGCATCCCTTACTTCCAGATTTACATGAATCTCAGATTACAAGGCCACAATAAATTGAAATTACTTGTGATACATATGCGATATTCATTCAAAAAACCATTTATTTCAACTGTATGCCAGGCATAGTCTAGGGGCTGGGTTTTATTTAAACAGCTTTTGGTGTCTTTTTTCAAAGGTAAACTTTAAATAAAACTTACTGATTAATGGTTTTATTCAACATTTATTCACTCATGTATTCATTCAACATTTATGGAGCCATGTAGGGGCAGGAAGGGGCACTGAGCAGGTTTTCTGATCCAGCAGAACAGGTAAAGGGGGAGTCAGAGTCCTGGAGACCTCAGTGGCTTTTGCAGGCTCTTTATTTAGATTCACCAGGTACACAGCCTCAGGCAGAGGTGCTGGGGGACTGGCAGTCCTCCCAGCACCCAGCAAATCTCCACTCTATCTGGGCTCTCCTGCTTCGGTTCGTTCTTGGCTTCTGCTGGCGTCCCCGTGATGCCGCCCTTATAAACTCAGGCTCTCAGCCCAGGGGTACCCACTCCAGGTGCCCGACATCAGGCATGCATTCAGGACCACAGGGTTCCCTCATCTATCCTAATGGCGGGAGGGCAGAAGAGCCTGATACTTTTACCTCACCCTACAAGCCACCAGTGCAGGCTGAGGTCCAGTGTGCAGATCGCAGAGAGATGAAGATGAGCAAGAGAAAAATCTCTTCCCTCCTGGGGCCTGCTGCCCACTGAGGAAGCGTAGTGCCTAACTGAATGCTGTTATAAAAGTGTGTTGGTGTGGTTATACACAAAGCAGTGAGTTAGGGTTGCACCTGGAAACACTCCACAAGGAGGTGGTGGCTTTCACTGTTTTTTTCCATTCTCTTTCCCACACCAACAGATATTTTCTTAGGTGAAAAGGAAGTAAAGAATTTTGTTTTTGTTTTTTGCCCACTGGAGCAGTTACAGTATGACATCACTTTCTGTTGTTTTAAATAGTATCTGTGCTATATGGTAGAGTATAAGCATTTAAGTTCTCAATTGAGCAGAGAATGACTAAGAAATGTGATTTTGTCCTCTGCTAGGCATTGTAGTTCATTGGGGGTTGGGGAAGAATGTGGGTTTTGGTTTTTTTTTTTTTTTTTTGGTTTATTCTCATGATTGGATTCTGGAATGGTTACTTGACTTGGGAATGAGTTACATAGGCTTCAAATGATGATTGAAATAATAAAAAGGAAACACAATTGAATAGTGGCACAATTAACACTCTTCAATGTAGGTACTAGTTTGTCCCAGACCTGTACAAGAAACCTCAGAGGTTTTCTTAAATGATTTACAAAGTTTGTCCTTGGGGCTGCAGTTTTCTCTTTGTGACACAGGCAACAAACAGAAGCAAAATTCTCAAGAAGAGAAAAAGCAATTTTCTCTCATTAATTTGATCACTAAATCTTTCAAAAGATTATAATCTTTTTCCTTTCTCTTTAACAACTCTGTTCTTTCTTCTTGCTGCTCTATGCTGTTCTTTAATAATGTTACTGGCCAGCTCCTTCTCTGCTCAGTGTTTTTAGTCTCAACTAATTTATTTCAGAAAGTGTCCACAAAGTAATTATAAATTACCTAGAGTATTTTTTATATGTTTGTCCTTTCTCCCACCCCACCCCAGACTGAAGTACATAGTTTTTATTATATTCAAATAGTATTGTAAACCTGTGACAAAAATATCTGGTTCCTTAAAGTATATGCCTCTACTTCATCTCCAAATTTCAGTATGGTATAATATGATCCTTTTTGTGCTTTTTGTCAAAATTACTTGTTTCTTACCTTATTAAAGTTTTTTTATTATGTAATATTTGATATGTAGGTATTGTTGGAGCACAGGGGGAATTCCTTATACCTCTGACTTCTTCTCAGGCTGGTAGCGTAACCAAAACAGCATCAGACAGTCTAGCAAAGGAAAAAACATTATAAACTGTGTGCTCTGGGGAGCGACAATGATTATGCAGAGCCCATCAATGGTTAGGGAGGAAGGGGTATAAATCCAGAGTTGAGGGGCCTTAGTGCCAAGGAAGGAATGACCTCTTCCTTACAGAGTACAAGGAAGGCATGACTTCCTCTTTACTCTCAGAGTGAAGATGAAATTCTCACAGATAATTTAGACACAAATTTATTTTTAATTTTAGAAATAAAACTTTATGCAGATGTCACCTCCCAAACTAAGTCATAAGAAAGGGAACAGTGATTGTTTCTTCATTTAAAAAAGGGCAAAAGTTTAGGAAATTGTGAATCTCTTCATAAATTAGAGAAGATCAAAGGACTCAGGCAAAAGCAAAAGCATCTTCTCAACTTCCGGAATTTTCACTGCACTTAGTTCAAAATATTCTGAGTGTCGCGCAGGGTGTCTTGAGGAGACCAATTCTGAGAATCCCCTTGTTAACTGTTTCAGGCACCTTCAGTATATAAAGTACATTTAAGTTATGAAGCAGAATATAATGAGCAGCTGAATCCACTATTCACCTTAACAGCAGAGCATAAAGGTTATCTTTGAATCCACCTGTTTGTTTAATCCTTTTTTTCCCCCTAAATATTTATTTATTTATACATACAAGAACTGGGGTACAGGCCAGGGGTGTGGGTGATGAGAGGATTCACCAGAGACAGAGTGGGGAACAGAACAGGCAGATTGACTGAAATACTCTGCTGAGGGGAGCAGCAGACAGTCAGGAGAGGTCTGCTGCGCCGTGTGGGTCTCCTCCCTGGCCGCCAGGATCAAACTCGTGCTGTAGAGGCTGCGGACAGCTTTATAGGCTATGTCTTAACTCCTTGCGCCACCAGGGAGGCCCTCAATCCCTTCTTGTTCCCTGCTTTAGGAGAGGTAACCACTATCAATGTAGATACTAGTTTGTCCCAGACCTGTACAAGAAACCTCAGAGGTTTTCTTAAATGATTTACAAAGTTTGTCCTTGGGGCTGCAGTTTTCTCTTGTGAGGTATTTTGAATGAGTACTATTCACTTATTTTTTCCTTGCTTCTTCTTCCCCTGTAGTTTAAGCAATATGTATATATCTCAAAATATACATAATTTTTTGTTTAGCTTTCTTGATTTTTAGCCTTTAAAAACATTATATATGTAGTTTTCTGCCCTTGATTTTTTTCACTACAAATTATATGCCTTGCATTTATTCATGTTGCTGCAATAGTTGTAGGTCTGCCACATAAATATGTCATTTTATTTGCTCTCACAATGGCGATCTAGGTTATTTCCATTTTATCCGTTACAAATAATGCTGCTGTGAATATTTGTGTGCATGTCTCTGGGTGGAATTGCTAGCTGGCGAACTGCTGCATCCTGGAAATTCACAGTGATCTCTTCACCTAATCATTACCTTAACCTCTGCCTTTTTCTCTGTATAAACCCTTGAACTCGATTCCTCCCTTGGGTTTGTTTCGTGTTTCTGCCTCAATCTGTGAATCTCAGA